TTCCTAAAAAAAATAATGTTTCTAGAAGAAGCGACTTTATTGAGAAAACTTGACGATTTAGGTATAGAGACATAATATATCATCTTGAAGCATTTTTCACCATCTTTCAATTTACCGAGTAATATACAGGAGGTTTCATTTGAAAAAATTAACTTTCGACTACTTTTATGCACAATGGAAATAATAGTAATTTTAGCACGCCCTGTATGATATGGAGTGCTGCCGCAATGCTGAAAATATTTTAGATCGATAGGACAGGTGAGGAAATGTGAGAGATGAAATTTTCAGAAAAATCATGCTTTGCGTTTTCCAGAAACGTCTAACCTACCATCGACAGTGAGTCACGCTGTATAGTATATAGTTATCTGGTTATCATCCCCGCTTACCAATTCAGTTGACAAACAATTTCAAATTAGTATATTTGAAAATATATCACAACGTAATCAATAACCACCTTATCATTATTCCAATAGGATCTGTTGTTATTTATAATTCTCTCCGGTCAGCGATAAGAAGTAGAGTATATTCATCCTCAACTTTGTTGTTTTTCTTCCGTTCATTATTTGACATTCAACGCTGTGCATGTGCATGTGACAATGCATATAGGAATAATATTTATGTCGATACTGACGCTTTTGAAAACGTCGATCTCGTCAAGAATTTTGGCGGTCGTCCCAATTCCATCTTACAGTCACCAAATATTCTACAGGCCTTTATGGCTGGAACTAGCTAGAAGAGGACACCAAATCACTCTTTTGACGACGGATCCTATGGACGATCCACCAAGAAGCGTACAGCAAATCAATTGGAATTTCGCTTACGATGTCAGACACAAGAAGCATGACATCACAAGAGGGCTCCAAGAAAACGAATTCAACTTTCCCAAAATTCTGGACCTTTACCAGTCATTGCTAAATGATCTGGTAGACGAGGAACTCACACATCCTGACGTGCAAATTTTGTTGAAGAACGAAACCGAACATTTTGATTTGTTGATTGTAGAATACTTCTCTCCTGTGATGTTTGGATTTGCTGAACATTTCAAGTGCCCTTACATAACCATATCATCTCTGGAGATACTAAACTCGTACTATCATTCTTTGGGAATTCCCAATCACCCGCTGTTGTATCCAGGAGTTCTCATGCCCTTCGAATGGGATCTTAGTTTTGGAGAAAGATGTCTGAGTACTTGGTTCTTTCTGTATGAACTCTACAGACATTTGATCTACGGCAACGCGAAAGAAAATGATATAGCAAGAAAACATTTTGGACAGAACCTACCACCACTGGATGAAATTGTGCAAAATGTTAGTATGGTGTTTGTGAATACGAATCACGTTTTCAACACTAGGCCTCTTGGTCCTGGAATAATACGAATAGGTGGAGGATTCCACTTAGCCGAGCAGAAGAGATTGCCAGAGGTAAGAAATATTAGAAACCAATGCAATACAAAAGATATTTTTGTGTTCCTTTTGACTTGTTTCGTATTTCAAAGTATCTTAACTAGAAATTATTGTCGAAAACTTCCATCAAAAGTTAAAAAGCTATTTCCCCTACTAATCGATTGTTATTGTTATACAGTGCGTCCAGCAATGAGGTGGACTACAGGAGGAACAGGAATAACGAAATAACGCTTAGAAGAATTTATTCTTCTAAGCGTTATTCTTACCAAAATTCTAAGTAAAATTTAAATCAAATAATATTGCTATTCAAACTGGATGAAGAGCAATAGTTTAAAAAAAATGAGAAACAATTTTGTTTAAATATCCCTTTCTATAAAACTTCAAAATGAAGGTATTTAGGTATTTAACTCATTTTAAAAATGTAAATGACAATCTGAATACAATTTTATTTTTTTGTATAGACAATTGTACTTTTGATATGAGAAAAATCTTCGTGAAATAAACATTTTGATTCGTGTTTTCTACCTCCGTCTATCTACCTCATGGGCGGACATAGAAAGTTTGTAAATGAATATTTTTTCTTCGAACGATTTGATCAATAGATGAGTATGATTGAGAAGATATTTGGACAAACATCGTCAAAATCATACAAACCCCTCAGTTTTTGAACGGTTGTTTGTCTTATTTAGAGAAAGAAATATACATAATTTCTTGATATCATATAGATGATATGGTATAGTTTTGGAATATGCACCAAATTTTGTCAAGAATAAAATTTTCTGAGAAATCGATTATATAAAAGTTTCCCATTCGTTGCAGACCACACTGTATACATATGTATAACAAATCAAATAATATAGAAAAAATAGGACCTTTTTAAACCAAAGTGAAATTCCTTAAGATATTTCATCATCAATAAATTATTAATTTGAATACTGAAATTTTAGTGAAGGATTTCACATTTCTCGTTGTCAAATCATCTACCTTGCACGATATCAGATGATTGACGCTGAAAACTACTCGCATTCGACTATCGCTCTAGTATTATTTTCCAAATAATTATATACTTTCACTTACGAAGCATACATTACTTTCACAATTTGTATTTTGAGGAAAATTCTGTTGAAATAACCAACGTAGATTGTAGAAATATGAATACAAAATTATCTTTTTGCATTTTCTTTATTTTCCTTGAGTTTTGCAGCGCCACCTCACGGTAGTGGTCGCATCGAATTGGCATATACCATTATAACCATATATTCCTCATATTTTCTGAGTAGATTGATTTTGTTATCAGTTTCATGGACTAATGGAGTAATGGAATGTATATCAATAAGATAAAAACTGATTATATCGACATTAGATATATGTGTATGAATTTCATTAGCAGTTGAGTCCCTCATAATAAATCATCCCAATGAACAGTATTTATACTCCATTTGAATTCATCAAAAGTTAAATTCCCGAATTTTTGGAGCCCAATGTTTTTGCATAGGGCACCAAATATCATACACAATTTTTATGTGTTCTGATAATTATATAATGTAGTTGTAAACCCGTACCACGATTTTACAGGATATTGAGGCATTCCTAAATGATACGAAACATGGAGCAATTTATTTCAGTTTGGGAACCAATGTGAGGAGTCATCATTTACGTGGAAACTTTCTGAAAGTTTTAATCGAGACCTTTCAAGAATTGCCTTACCAAATCTTGTGGAAGTTCGAAGTGTCACTGCCACAGACATCTGAAAACGTTAAAGTTGTCAAATGGGCACCTCAACAAGATGTTCTACGTAAGTTGTTTGAGAGAAATTATTGCTATTTATAATAAATATTACTGGAGTTTTTTTTCAACACCAATCCGTTATTTCAACACCTCGACACGTGTTTCGATCACCAAGTGATCATCTTCAAGGGGTAGATCAAACGTTTGATATTCCTCTTGTATCGGCCACTTCTATCCAATTATTTAATTTACTTCACAGGACACAAAAACGTAAAGTTGTTCATCACACAATGTGGAGCTCAATCTATGGAGGAGTCAATTTTTTCAGGAGTTCCCCTGCTTTCTATTCCATTCGTCAATGACCAGAGAATGAATGCCCAAACAATAGAAAAACATGGATTGGGTTTGGTCATTGACAAAAGTACAGTAACAAAGGACATTTTAAAGGCACATATAATAGAGATAATGACCAATTCCAGGCAAGTAAAAACAATTTCACGTCCCTATCGAATATATCTAAAAAAAAAAAATTAGTTTCAGAAAGAGGGTAGATAGAACAGCTCAACTCATGACAGATGAACCGATGAGTGGTTTGGAGAAAGCGGTGTGGTGGACTGAATACGTCATCAGACATAAAGGAACGAAACATTTTTGGCATCCCAATAGGAATTTACCGGTTTATCAATATCTGCTGTTGGATGTTTTGGGTGCTTTCTTGCTAGTCTTTGCTCTTTCCGTTTATATCATTTATAAGATCTTTTTCATAATTGTGAAAAGGGTATTGGAAAGAGAACTCATTAAAGAAAAAACTGCTTGAGAAGCATATTCTATTGTTTTATTCAATTCAAATATTGACTTTTTGATATCATTTTCGTTTTTCAACTAGCTCATTTTATTACTGTCTTGGTATTTTTAATATGTATTTTCATATTGCCATTTGAGCAAATATTTTCATCTCCCACTTCTTGAACTTCAAGAGGTAAAAATCTCAACTCAAAAAATTTGAATAACAAAGTGGCTGTCTGTAGTAATGAATTCGATAAAAAAGTTTGCAAAAATTTATTAAAGATCGGACATATTTATGAAGTACAATTTTATATCGGCCAATCTGGAAAAACTTCCTCCAAAAGAATAAAGGAACATAAAAGTAGTGTTTTGAATGAGAAGACCAATTCAAAATTTGAAAACCATCCGTAATGAGACTTACTTAAACCGAAGGAATAAAAGTGCTTTTATTGTAGATTCTCGAGTGATCCCTTCCCCCCCCCTCCCCAAATCATTCAACTCCAATTCACCACCAATATTCAAAGTGTTTCTCAAGGAAGTGACCCCATATTCCTGTCGCATTTTGATATTTTCACAAATATTTTATGAATGAAATGTTGGCAGATCAGATTGATTTTATTTTCTACTGGATTAACAGTTTCACCGAATTTTCTCCTTTGGGTTGAATAATTTTGAATTGAAAATGGATTTTAGTCAACGATTTTGAAGATTATTCTCATTCCTCAATCAAATTGTTTAATGTAACAAATGTTCTGAGAGAGCTGAGTTTTATCAAACAAATTGCTATCAACAACGGTTACGAGATGGATATTATTGACTCAATTCTTTACGGAAAATTGCAAAAACAAGCACTGAACAAGGTCTTACCCGTTTCAAAGAATTATAGTAAACATTATGTAACTCTAACTTACTTTGGTGATCCTACTATAAATATCGCGCGTTTTTTTTAAACAAAGATTTAGACGTAGCCTATACAGAACAAATTATAATTCAAGTAAATTCATTGAAAACTATGGAGATAAAACTCCGGCATCGGATAGTTGAGCAGAGTTGTGGCTCTTGTCCTAAATTTTATATTGGCCAAACCGAAAGAACTTTCTCCAGAAGAATAAAGAAACACTTTATCGAATGAGAAGAAGAATTCAACATTTGCAAATCATCTTTTGACAGAGGAACACGAGTTCAATCACGATTATGACGTACTGCATTTGAAAGAGAAACTCAATCTTTTTGAATGCTAAGGAATCAATAGTTCTGAGAATTCAGGATTATTGCTCAATCATCAGATAGATATTTGAATTGTTACCCTTTATTGAATTCAGTTCGAAAGGATGAAATTGCTGATTTGGGTAGATCTTGGAAGCAGGTAAAATGAGGTCTCAGGTAAAACTTATAATCATCTTCCAGTTTAACTAGTTATCCCTAGAAAGGTGGATAATTTATGTAATTAATTTATCATATAGAAATTTTATCAGGGATCAATATTCATCAGGATTCAAATTACTATAAAAGCATGGCACATAATTTGGTTGGTCAGTATTGTGACGTCTGAAGATGCTACTGTGTAACGAAATACGTGTCGCGGTTTTGTCAAGTGGAAATCTCACGTTATAATGGATTTGCACCAAGTATCTGTCAGTTCTGTCATATTTTACACATTTTCAATTACTTTAAATCTCAAAAATAACAGAGGTGGTTCAGTTCTGCAAACTTCTTTCCATTGTTTAATTTTTTATCTCTCATAATGCGGCAGATAGCGATTGTGGGAGCACCAATTTGGAGCACACTGTATAAAAACAAGACCAAATCCAGATTCTATAGGCGGAAGTTTCGAATAAAAACTAAATTTTATACGTTTGATCCAATAAAATAAGACTGTTATTTAAAACCCGTTTGCGTGCTCACCTCTTAGCAAGCATTTTGCGTTCAATATTGTCCTGACACTAGAGTTATTTTGGAATGTCTGGCTCGTTGCCTCGCATTACTGTCTCTTTTGCCGTGCATCTGGAAACTTCAGCAACACGCTTAGCACAGCCAAGCACCAACTATTGAAAAATAATCCTGAAATATCGCTTTGTTTCGGCCCAGGATGGGAAATTATGGAAGAGAATGTAAAAATCGTATCATACGCACGGCATCATTTTTATATTTCATGTTCACGAAAGAAGGGTAGAAACAGTTGAATGAGGGACTAGTCTGGTCCACATGTACTTTTTTTGTAACAATGTTTATTCCTTCTATTGAAAATACCA